AGCATCACTGAAACCTGGAGAAAAAGTTTTGTGGATCATAGACTGGAGAATATTCAGCAAAATTGCTACCTCTCACAGCATGGAACCCTGAGAGGGAGGCTTGCCGTCTCAGGGTCTGCCTAAGGTGACTTCTGGGAAGAAGGTGGAAAGGACTACCAGCCTCCTCTGTCTGTCTCTGAGAAAGATGAATTGAAGAAGACCATTCAACATTCAAAGGTTGCCTTAGAGAAGGGGAGGCCAGAGAACAAGGACCTGTCACAAAGAGCATGTGTGGGGGGAGAGGGGGTAGTTCCTGTCTAATAGATCTTGGTACATAGGAAGCGTGCCCCTTAAAAAGAGTGATTCCACTGTGTCATTGCCTGTGTCAAGAAAAAGAGTCAAAAAAAGTGAAAAGTAGGGACAACTAGGAGTGTAGCTCAGTGGTAGAGTGTATGCTTAGCATTCACGAGGCCCTGAGATCTACACACACACACACACACACACACACACACACACACACAATGATAAGAGGAACATTGGATACTCTACTTAATGTAAGCAAGCCATAGGTGGAGAAAGTTTACCAACTGCAAACTGAGGCATTTCTTAAGGAAACATAACATCAACTCAGAATGGCAAGAGCCCAGAGAGCAGACTGAAGAGGCATGAGTTCTTTCCCAGGGAGGACTAGGCTGTAACCAACAAACTGGCCCAGGTGCTTGATGGAAATAAACACTCAGATCACTGTGTGCAGGGTGCCTCCCACAGACCCAAGCCCACCATGTTCATGCCACTGTCCCCATTGTGTGATGGGTATGTGTGGACAGGGAGATAATAAGCTACTATGATGTAGGGGTCCAGGGCATACAGGGCTAACGTGAAGACATGTAGGGGAGATGAGATCCAAACCTCCCTGCTCCCCAAAAGGGCCCTTTCATGGTTAACACTGCAGTGCTAATGGGCCCCACATCCTGCAAAGTAGGGTGATAACCAATGGCTACCACTTCTGAAAGCATGTGTGGTGTACCCCACCTGTCACCTGTAGTAACCCTTTAGGTGTTTTTCCCTACTTAAGGCTTCATTAATATTACTTGCATGTAATGCATACAATTTTAACACAGTGAATTATGGGAATGAACATGCACAATGAGAAATCCATTATATAACATCTGATTTTCTGCTAATTGCCATAAGGCCACTTGCTGAAACACCCAGGTTTTTTCCACCAGTCTGGCTCAATCCACATAAAACCACACAGACCCCAGGCAACTGCACTCTTGAGCTGCAAGGCTGTAGCCCTGGCTTCTCCTCTGATGGCGTTTCTTTCACTTTCCACTGTCAATATTCTTTGCCACACACTCCTTGTCTCTCAGATCAATTCTTTGATCTTGATGCCAGACAAGAGACTGATGTAATTGTTAGGCCCCAGATAACAACCAGAACCTGATTTAATTGACCTGCCCACCAGTGTCAAAACAGGAAGGTAAAGATCTCTGGAGGACTGAGAAGCCAAGTACATTTTGAACTCTGGCAAAATGTGAGTCATTTTTGGCCAGATGGCAAACTTCGTGCCCCTAGTGACCTTCCAGCTAGGACAAGAGACATCTTGTAGCTGACCATACTGCCTTGAAGCAGACCAGAGACACAAGAAACACCATGACACACACAACACAAGCCATACTGGTGTGTCTAGTTCCCTGACCATGAAAATTGTGACAGGTAGAGAGAAGTTCTATTTAAATCCGTCAGTTTTCGAAATGGAACATCTTAAGCGTCACTGGAGACCAGAGCAAATACCTTAGATTGAAACGTGGAGTTTGGAGGCTTAGATTTACCTTTAGGGTGCAAATAAGTGAATGGTAAAGCACATTTCGCAATTATGTTCTGCCTCAAAATACAACTGTGAATTTAAAATGTTCAACTAATGAACATTTTGTTCTTAACCAACTATAAACTACACAGTTAGAGTCCATAAACATAGCCATAGCTGCTGCAAACATCTATTTTTTGTTATTCATTCTTAAATAGTTAGCTAAAATATCGGTGAAATTAAAAGCAGCCTTTAAAGGAGTTTGTAAACGTGACAGATCCTTTTGAATTACATACAACTGTATATTAATAACAAGTACAAATATAGTCACTGAGAAACATACAAAAACAAGTTAGCAACTATGAAAATTTGTATTTCCTTTTTTTTTTTTCTTTGCATATTTTTTCATTGACCTTTTCTCAAGTGTGTCCCACTAACTCCTGAACGCTTTCTTCTAGGGGCCCCCTGAGGATGTCACCATGTGCTCAGTTTAGAAACACTGTTCTGTGCAAACACACTCTTCAGGTTTTCCAGGAATGACATCTGCAGTTACCATGTTTATTCATGAGCATGGTCAGATCCTCTGCCTACATGCACTGTATGCAAACAGTAGGACAAAATGAAAAGAATAAACAAAAATTGCACAAGTTCACACCAAATGAGATTAGACCCGACAGACAAGGAGCAGTCCAGGATTGAAGGTTGGTGCTGTATGTAGGGAAGTGTGAACCCCAGACAGCTAGATCCATGTAGGAGAACCACTGAGTGAGTAGAATGGGGCCCAGGATGAAGCCCTTGGTTGAGTTCTGTTAAGGAGCAGAAAAAGCAGAATTCAGGGCAACAGAGAAGACATCATGAGAAAGGCTGTGACAGGGACTAACAAAGAAGAATGTCAAGGAGCACATCACAAGCGGGAGCTTCAAATATGGTAAATGGTGATGGACGTGGACTACACTTAAGTTATTAAATGGGCTTTTGAATAGACAACACAGAGTGGGCTAAAGGACAAATGAACAGTGAGAAGATCTGCCAGGAAATTTAACTTTGAACAGTCTGCACGTGTACATGTGGAATGACAGACAGGTACAGAGTCACTGAAGAACCTGTGGTCTACTCAATCCTCCAGATATTCCAGGTTTTATCCACGAATCAAATATGGCCTTCCAAAAGCTGCCTCGGACCACAATTCCAGAAAAATTTATTAAGAGAGTATTGCATTAGCACCAGATAACCATTTCCACTGCAGAACTATAGAAGGGCTATTTCCACTCTCCACACCATCTATGAAAAGAAGTAAGGTGTTAGCCTTTGGTGAAGTTTTTACATCCCGTGAGAAGTTAGCATGCTCTCTTCTCAGGTAGCATTCAAATCATGTAACAAATGTGACTTCTTCTTGTCATGGCATCAGAAATACCAGAGATCAGGCCAGGCATGGTGGCACATACTCTTAACCCTAGATACTCTGGACTCAGAGATAGGAAAATTGTGGCTCAAAGCATACAGGAGCAAAAAAGTTATCAAGACCTCATCTCAAAATACAGGCTGGGTGTGATGCATCACACCTATAATCCCATCAACAAAGGAAGTGGACATAGGAGGATTATGGTGCCCCAGACAAAACACATATGACCTTTCCTGAAAAATAACTAAAGGAAAAAGGGTGTAGGTATGGCTCAAGTGGTAGAGCGCATGTCTAATAAGCACAGGGTTTTCAACCTCAATACTGAGACAAATTTGTACTCAACACAGATGTTTTTAACATCTTAACACCTGCTCACACGGTAGAGTGCCTGCTTAGCAAGTGGTAGAGTGTGCAGCCCTGAATTCAAACCCCAGTACTGAAGAACAAAAAACAAAAAGGAAAACCCTGCCAATGTCTGCATGTCAACTGTATCTTATTTATGTGCATTACCCTGAAGCTGTTTTACTCATTTCTACAATCCCATTTGTACTTACAGACTTCACAAATTCATGAATTACTATGTAAAACAAACTGAAGAATAAATGAACAACTCACTGGAAACTGGTTCATTTTTTTATTTCTCCTAGAAGCCCATTCTGGAGGTGTAGCTGAGAGAACAGCAGACTCATGAGCCAACAGGCAGTGTTTGGTCCTGATTCTCCTGCTCAAAACGCTACACATTAGCTGGATATAGTGAAAAAACAAAAACAAAAATAAAACAACCTCTCTGCCTCTCTGTAGGAGATTAGTCCCTTATACAAGAACAGGCAACAAAGTCCCCAGTGAAGACGTACCTGTTACTGTGAACAAAAGGGAACCATGCATGTTAAACTGGATCCCCTCCCTCTTGAAGGTATTTACTGCAAGCATAGAGCCCTGAGTTCAAACGCCAGCCCCCTTTAAAAACAGAGAAATTACTTTTAAAAAACATTATGTCTTTGCTAAAAATGCACCCGGGGCCCCCAGCACGACAATTAAAAAAAAAAATTTAAAGAGCATACTATTCAAAAAACCAAAAATGCATGGTGGGGGGCGGGGTTGCTAGATATGGTGGCACATGTCTTCAATCCCAGCTACACGGGAAGGTGAGGTAGGAGGAAGACCAGGGTCTGAGGATTTGGATTTCCCCAGACAAAAGCAAGAACTCTCTGAGTGCGGGGGCGTGGCACAAGCGCTAAAGCTGTTTCCTTCAAGGCCCCGAGTTCAAATCCCACCACCGCTAAACAAAACAAATGATAGCTTAAGGTAAAAAGACCCCATCTGAGAAATTAATTACAAGCAAAATAGGGTAGGGGTGAAGCTCAAGGGTGCAGTGCTTGCAAGGCGCTTCGTCCAAATCCCAGTACTGCCCAAAAACAGAAGAAATAAAGTCACTTGGGCTAAAGGAGGAACTAATCACTGTCCAGAGAACTCCAGAAGCCACTCCCACTGCAATTCCTCCTCTCTTCATGGAGACATGCATGCTGCAACTCCGTACTTTGCTGATGCTCGTGCGTAACAAATGTACCTGGACCTTGGGGGCAGCGTCCCCGTGACGGTTCCAGGAGGCGCCTCCGCGTACCCGCAAGACAACGATCTGCGCTGTGCCACTGACGCGCCCTGGCCACGAGGACGCCACCAGATGTGACACGACCAAGTGAGGAAAGGCTTTGCTCCAAGGTGCGCCTTCCTGGCCGCACTCACACACATGGCCGCTGCCACTTTCCCTCCCAGCCCGGCTCGGCTCCGCCCGCCACCTGTGTCACGGACCTGCGGGACGACCACCTGCATGTTCTGGCCAACACCTCCTCAGGGTCGCCGGTCCTGCACCCCCCCAGGGTCCACGTGGCCGCTTTCTCTCTCGCCCCAGCACAGACCTTCAGGGAATCCGTGGAGGAATTAAAAGTCCGCGGTAAAGGAACAACAGGACAGCAGTTCCAGGAACTTCCGGGCGGAAACTGGCGGGGCGGGACGGCGCCTGCGCAGCAGGTACCCGGAAGAGCTCCACGCCAGATGAGGCTGGTGACTCGACTGGGTGAGACTACATTTCCCACAAGCCTCCCCGCAAGTCTCACAAAACAAGGGAATGTTCCTTTGCCAGGTGCGTGGTCTCACTGCAAATTGACCAGGATGTCTTGCTTTACGATTGGTCCATACCCACCGTGATGACCATGTGGAATCCTGCTTTTTTATTAAATCCTGCTGTGATTAATCCAGAGTATTCGGTGATAATTAGTGATAAAACGTTCAGCTTAAATGCATTTCACCAGCCCTGTGGATCAACTCCAGAGAGTGAGATAAAATCATGGTTGGAGGCCAGCCCTGGCGAAAAGTTCTAGACACCCCAGTGATGTACACTCTTGTGCCGCAGCTCACCTTTGTGCTGTCCCCGTGGTCCCTAGAGTTACTGCCATCGGATTTCATTCCAGGAAATTCCGTCGTGCACAACATGAGGTAACAAGTTCAAAGAGCTCCTGCTAGTAGAGGCAATGGTATCTTGAAGAGACAGGAAAAATGTGCGCCCCACCCACGTGGGACTTGGAGCCCAGAGATTAAAATTGCTGTCTCCAAGCAATCTTAAAATAAGGGAGAGAAAACCGAGCCTCTGGGGCAGAGCCTGGCCTCAGGGAAAGGAAAATTTTAAGTAGCAAGGAAATTGACGAGGACATCTCAGGGCTTGTAATGCTGCAGCCAGAATGCTGCTAATGTAATTGGCAATATTATGAATGTCAGGGGGAAACTAGCAACTCTGGTCTAGGTTGCCAGTATTTCGCGGGGACCTGCATTGTTCACCTGATGGTACCAAGGCAGGCTAAGATAGGGAGAGAACGGGACTCTTCTGATTTAATATTATATTTCAGGTTGAACATTTTTCTCCCTCTGAATCTTCCTTTTCGTTGCAATTATGTGGAGATTATTAACGCCTTCAATCAAACCAGCACCCTAGCCCAGGGACCACCCAAACCCTTCCCACTCTGTGATTTGTGGTGATCAAGAATCACGCAGGTTTTTCCTCTCCCATAGGTTAGCACAGGTTTTAAAAGCACCCGAAACAGGAAGAGCTCTCTGTGCTTCTACCTCATACCTGGCCCACCATGGCCTCTTGTAACTTATTCCCTAACCTTTCATAAAACTTTATTATCACCCTTACTGTGTCTACATATCCTGCCTGGATGCATCCATGTGGGATATGAGGATCTGGATCTTCTCCTTATCAACCCATACAACCTATGGTGAGCCTGTCTACTAGGTACTCCTCTATGGGAGGGAATTGGAAGCAGAGGTGGACTGAGAGTTTCCTACAATGATGGGGGGGCAGCGGCAGAAAGCCAGCCAGACTGCAGGCTCTTGGTTTCAGTCCCATCTGTTTCTTGTCCAAAACTCCTCTGGCCACTTGAATCTGGATCCTTACTTCTACCTTTTCCATGCTTATTAAGACAGCCAGATATCACCAGTTCCAGTGGAGACACAATCTTTTTACCACAACAGTCTGCCTCTTTCCCAGCCTGTCATACAAATGCAAATTTAAAAACAAATTTTTCGTATAAACTAAGAGCATGGACACGTGTCCTGATGAAGATATGGGATGCCAAACCTACAACCAAGACTAGGGTCTCTAAATTCAGGTTAAAGGTTTGGCTACTAACAAAGATACTGTAGCCCAAGGTAAACTGTTAATAGAGATTATTAAAAACACCCTCTAGAGGTAAATCTGAAGCGTTCAATATCTAAGAGTTCAATATCTAAGAGTTCAATATCTAAGAGCATGGACACGTGTCCTGATGAAGATATGGGATGCCAAACCTACAACCAAGACTAGGGTCTCTAAATTCAGGTTAAAGGTTTGGCTACTAACAAAGATACTGTAGCCCAAGGTAAACTGTTAATAGAGATTATTAAAAACACCCTCTAGAGGTAAATCTGAAGCGTTCAATATCTAAGAGTACACACAGAATTAATGTAATTGTTTTATAGACATGGTGTGAATTCTGTGTATGTCTATCGTATGATTAACTTATTCAAGACAAAAGTCTGACAGCTATGACAACAGTCATATTGGAGACTGAGACTGACTCAAAACACTTTCCTAGAGTTGACTCTTGCTTCAGCTATCGATCCAACCTAAACAAGTCCAAAAGAACAGATTGGGACATATTCCAATCTGTTCCTCAAAATTTTCAAATAGCTGATCAATGTACTTGTGGCCACTTAGTTATTTTTTTACATGTTCTTGAACTCTTGTATCTATGCATGCTTAAATTGACATTTATAGCATGCCTCATGTAGTTTTTTTTCCCACATATACATGTGTTTGAACATCTTTTTTTTTCCCTTTATATACACATTTATTTGGTACTGCAAATTAAAATAACATCAGAATTCCTTTTATGGCAACCCAAATATTTGAAAATGAGAAAATATAGTTACCTACCCAAATTATTACCCTCTAACCAGACTACCCCATGTTCTCCTCACACCCCTTCAGGTTATATTTAATTTCACAGACTTTAGGCTTCTAAAACAAAGACTTGAGACCTATTGGTGCTTCTTGGTTCAAATCAAAATGTAGAACTAAAGTATTTTAAAGTCATTCATATACAAATTACACAATTCCCTTATAAATTAATCATAGCGGGAGTGAAAATAAAAGATACAAGATAACAAGGTCATATCATATACATCAGTTATTCAAAATTAGTGGTATGTAGCTCTCAACATGCTCATTAAATTACCAGCAGGAAAACTGATAAATTTAGATTTGTGCCTAAATTCAAAGTCCCAAGTCCCACTGAGAGAGAAGAGAGAGAGAGAGAGAGAGAGAGAGAGAGAGAAGATTTAAGCCTAAATTGATTCTACTCTGTCATAATCACTCCCTAGTCTAGCATTCTCAGAAGGATCCCAGCTATGGTACAGACAGTAACTGCAGGTGCATTGGAACGGCACACTGAATGGTTCACTCTGAACTCCTTTAATCCCATCTCTTAGCTTTTCTCTTCGAGCCCTGGAGTATCTGTTGCTCAGGAGAGCTCTCATCTCGGCCAGGCGTTCTCTCCTTGCGGATAACAAGGTCCATACTCCTCTCTGCCTATAGGGAGTGTCACCTCTGGTCTCCTGTAGGACCCTTTGGCTTCTGTCTGACACTTGGGCTGGACCTTCTGGGAGAGGGGAAGGGAACCTGGGAGGAGGGTTGAGGGTCAAGTTATGAAGGTCCCTTATCAAGGTTTCTGGATGAGAGCCTGCTGAATCTCTTGGGGAATTTTCTTCGTAGGCCATCTGAAAAGATTCTGCTGTCAAGGTTGGGTTAAACGTTTGTGAGGGCTCCATTGGTGTTGTGCTGAGGAAAAATTACTCCAGAACAGTTTTAGAAAAACCCTAAAACTCCAAACTCCAATAAATGGTGGTGAAATAAGGGAACCTAAAAATTTAGGCCTGGTTTCCTTTAAACTGTGTTTGAACATCTTTAGGATGATTCTTATAATAGATGTAATGGAATGGAACGAATGGCTTCTGTTCTCTTGTCTCCAGCCTCCCCTCTCCCCCTGTTTTACTTTTAAGAAAAGCACTTTTTCAAAGTTTTATGTCAATCAGGTCTAACTTAAAAAACAGGCGTTATTTTATGGACAGTAACCTTAATCTGTTTCATTTTGTCATAAGTGGGATTTACATCAAATTCTTTCATAATTAGGTCTGTTAACAAAGGTGTCTTAATAAGTTAGTTATCGTATAGACAAACAGTTTAAGATTGCCTTCTTTCACGTTCTCCTGAGAGATTTTCAAGGGCCGTGCAGAACCAGAACCTGAATCTCTACGTGCATAACAACGAGGCTTTCTTCATATTGTTCTGCTCTGTGTAACATCCGTGAGAAACTTGTAATGAAAGATTTTATCAAAATAACTATTAGTGTTTTCTGTTGATCTTGTCAAGCTTTTAAATACTTAAGCTAAAACTTCACTAAATCAAAGTTCATTTGAGGATTCGCTCATTTAAAGTTCTCTTAAATGACCACCTTACAACTGTGTTCTGTGTCTAGACTTTATCTAAATAGTGTACAAACATTTGCAAAATTCAGTGTCAGTTTAATATATGTAAAATGACCAGCTAAAGTCATCAAAACCTTTGGCGTATAAAATGAATGATGAAACATTTCATAGTTGTACTGTTTGGGATCAGTAACATTCAGAAAAACCGTGCAATTTGGGCAATCCTGCTATTTAAAATCTGGTCTATATTTGTGTTACTCAAATGAATGTTACTGTTTATATGAAATGTACTGAGTCCCTGCCTTCAGAGGTTAGGGTCCATCTGACAATGGAAAATGCATTCAGTCCATCTGTAACCATTCCCATTATCTTAACAGTCCCAGAGTTGCTCAAAGGTCGAGAGTCTCCTCTCAGACCCAAACCAAACTCTTAATGGTGAATCCCCAGACAATCAAAAAGAAAGTTAGACATTTCAAGGTATAGTTGTTCAAGGGTAATATTTTCATTCCAAAAGGGAGGAAAACAAAACAGTAAGGAGAAATCAGACCAAAGGAAGACCAAAACCAAGCATGGCAAACAATGAGCCCTTCAGCATCAGGGACACTGGTACTGTGATCTGAGCCCCAAGATCTCAGGCAGTTCTGTCCCTTGACAGGTGCAACCAAGATGGCTGCTCTTGGGTTGGCTGTGCTCACAGCCTGTGGCCTTCCCTCTGCATATCTATCCAACTTTCTGGTAACTGACCTCTGGTAGTCTCCTTGGCAGCTTGCATTCATTCTCACAGCTTCACACCTTGACCTCTCAATGGCTGCTTGCAGAGATTCTGGCCTTACTGTATACTGCTTGACCACTGAGGCTATCCATTGAAATCTCCATGGAAGCCTCTATGACCCCACATTTCTTGCATTCTGCAGACCTTAAAACCAGCATCAGGTGGAGGATGCCAAAGTTGGCCTCCTACTT